CTCCAGTTCTTGGGCTTAGGCGATTCTCTTGCCTCAGCCTCCCAAGTAGCTGGGACTACAGGTGCCCGCCACAATGCCCGGCTATTTTTTGTTGCAGTTTGGCTGGGGCTGGGTTTGAACCTACAGCCCCATGGGGGCCGGCGCCCTACTCATTGAGCCAGAGGAGCCTGCCCGACAGCTGTAAATCTAAAACAACAAAAGAGTTATTTTGATGACTCTAAAAGCAGTAGGGGCTTTCATTGTTCCAAATAAATAGCAAATATTCCAAATATTAGTGTTTAGGTTACATTGGAAACTAATTAAAAATCATAACTACTGTTTATTAATCATTTCCCATATACCAAGGTATCTGTGGTAACACATTTAAAGCAATTTGTAGGCTGGGCACAATGGCTCGCACCTGTAATCCTAGCACTCTGGAAGGGCAAAACAAGTGGATGGCTTGGAGCTCAGGAGTTGAGACCAGCCTGAGCAAGAGTGAGATCCTATCTCTACTAAAAGTAGAAAAATTAAATGAGTGTTGTAGCAGACACCTGTGGTCCCAGTTAGCTACATGGGAGGTTTGAGGCAAGAGGATTGCTTGAGCCCAGGAGGTTGAAGTTGCTGTGAACTATGACACGATGGCACTCTTCAGCGTAAAATTCTGTCTCTAAATAAACAAAATAAAGCAATTTATAAAATTAACCCAAAATATCCCAAGTTGCACAATGTAAATAATCTTTAGGAAGTATGACTGAAGCATGACTAAAAAGCTCAAGCTTGCTGGGCATGGTGGCTTACACCTATAATCCCAGCTACTCAGGAGTCCCAAGCAAGAGGATCGATCACTTGAAGACCAGGAGTTGAAAAATGAGCAACATAGTGAGACCCCATCTCTAATAAAGCCCAATGGTGGAAATAGATACATCATGCTATTATAATTTAAGGACACCAGCATTAATAAAATCCAACTAACTCTCCTTGCTTGAATTCCAAGTCCAAATAAGCTTCTGACGCCAGTTTGCTTCCTGTATAGTTTCGTTCAGTGACCATGTATACTACTTGATGATTTTATTCCTCATTATAAACTGGCATTTTGGTTTATAGATTAGTCTGTACTGAGTCAGTTCCTTAAGTCTAATCACTTCTGGATATACTAAGAAATCACATTTTTGGCTCGGCGCCTGTGGCTCAAGCGGCTAAGGCACCAGCCACATACACCTAAGGTGGCGGGTTCGAATCCCCAGCCCGGGCCCACCAAACAACAATGATGGCTGCAACCAAAAAATGGCCAGGTGTTGTGGCGGGCGCCTGTAGTCCCAGCTACTTGGGAGGCTGAGGCAGGAGACTCGCTTGAGCCCAGGAGTTGGAGGTTGCTGTGAGCGTGATGCCATGGCACTCTACCCAGGGGGATAGCTTGAGGCTCCGTCTCAAAAAAAAAAAAAGAAAAGAAAAGAAAGAAATCACATTTTTAATCCTATAAATTCAAAACCATGCCCTAGATTGTACATCCAAACAATGACACTGTAAACTTCTAGGAGTTATCCCCAGGAAGACAGCTGGTCTCTTAATTTCTTCTCAAACCACAATATTTTGTATATATATACCTATGTATTTTGATACAGGGTCTTGCTCTGTTGCCCAGGCTAGAGTATAATGGCATCATCATAGCTCACTGCAGCCTCAAACTCCTGGGTTCAAGTGCTCCTCCTGCGTTAGCCTCCCCAAATTCTAGGATTACAGGCATGAACCATCATGACTGCCCCAAACCACGGTATTTTAAATGAATGAATAATTTGCTGAGTCTGTGAGTCAACTTCTGGACCCATACACAAAAGATACATCTTAGTGCTGTCAAACCACACCAAATGAATCCCTATGATGATAAAGTGGTCTCCTGAAAAAAAAAAATTTTTTTTTTTGAGACAGAGCCTAGAGCTGTCCCCCTGGGTAGAGTGCTGTGGCATTACAGCTCACCGCAACCTCCAACTCCTGGGCTCAAGCGAGTCTCCTGCCTCAGCCTCCCAAGTAGCTGGGACCACAGGCGCCTGCCACAATGCCGGGCTATTTTTTGGTTGCAGCCATCATTGTTGTTTGGCGGGTCTGGTCTGGATTTGAACCAGCCACCTTAGGTGTATGTGGCTGGCGCCTTAGCCACTTGAGCCACAGGCACCAAGCCAGTCTCCTGAAATATTAAAGGACAGGATCAATCCTGCAAAAGCTAAAGGTGAAGTTAAAACCACTTTTTCGAAATACTGTTGAACAGGGCCAAAGAAGCTATGGAGAAGCAAGACGATGACACTTCCTCAACCCATCTGAGCCTTGCTATCTTCTTCTGTGAAGTGAGGAATGTGGATCAGATCACTTCTAAATGATGATGATGATCTCTAATTCAATTCTGAATTCTATCAGAATTGGTTCCTTCAGTGATGGCAGAGAAAGGTGTAGAAACAAATTTACTAAGAAAGCTTAAGAGAAGAAGCTTTGCTCAAATAATGATGTACAGTTCTTCCCAAGTGGAAATCTACTTGACCTCCATTTTGTTTTATTGTTTTGTTTTTGAGACAGAATCTTACTATGTTGCCCTTGGTAGAGTGCTGTAGCATCACAGCTCACAGCAACCTCTAACTCTTAGGCTTAAGTGATTCTCTTGCCTCAGCGTCCCAAGTAGCTGGGACTACAGGCACCCACAACAACGCCTGGCTATTTTTTGTTATGGTTCTGGTTAACAGGCCCTGGCTGGGTTCGAACCCACCAGCCCTGTGCATGGGGCCAGTGCCCTAACCACTGAGCTATGGGCGCCAAGCCATGTTTTATTGTATTTTTTTAGAGATAAGGTTTTGCTATTTTGCCTCTTGCATCCTGGCCTCTTGCCTCATCCTCCCACAGTGCTAAGACTATGAGAGTGAGCCACAGCATATAGCCAAACCTCTTAATTTTTATTTTATTTTTTTTTGAGACAGAATCTCACTTTGTCACCCTTGGTAGAGTGCCGTAGCGTCATAGCTCACAGCAACCTCAAACTCTTGGGCTTAAGTGATTCTCTTGCCCCAGTCTCTCAAGTAGCTGGGAGTACAGGCACTTCCCACAATGCCTAGCTAATTTTTTTTTAAGAGACAGGGTCTTGGCTCAGGCTGGTCTTGAACCTGTGAGCTCAGCCAACACCTCTCCCCTCCACGCCTCCCCAGCCTCCAAGTGCTGGGATTACACGTGTGAGACATTGCACCTGGACTCTTAATTTTTTTTTAACCTCTATTTTACAATAAAACCAGAGCCAATAAAATAAAAGCATTCACATATATAGGGGGAAAAAATCTGCTACAGTGGTAATTCAAAAAGAAAAACAGACAGAAAGACTTACGTGTGTCTTTCATATCTGAGGGTTTCTCGGATGGACCATGCAACCTGGTACGGTGAAGCCTGCTCTGAGTCCTCCAGTTCCTCTCCACTCTCTTCAGACCAGTCCAACCCTGGGATAGACAGGGGATATTGCAAGTTAGAAAAAATTTACTTTTATTCAAAATTTGGATTAAAATGCTACCCAAAACACCCAGCCCACCACATATAGTAACTACTACCACAGTGTGAAATAGATGCCTCCTGATGAATCTCATTTCTGTTCTTACAAAGATTAATAACAAATTTATGATATACACTCAGGTTTTTAAAAAAAAGGCCTAACAAAAGGGCTAAGCTGTAATCCAAGAATGGATTTCTTTTATCAGAAACTCATGGAGTACGATAAAAACAACACAAGCAAAGGAGAGAGTTCAGGTCACAAAAAAAAGGTTGACTTTCTTAAGTATCAAAGCCTCGAGTGCAAAAGTGATGTCAAAAAAACATAAGACATATTCAAAAAGATGAGAAAAGCCCGAACATATGTTCAGGCCAAGAAAAAAAGTCAGTATGTGCTGATGAAGTCACTCTATACTTCAACAAGAATAAGTTGTGAAAGGCAGACATACTTTATCCTCTTATCTCAACATCCCTGGAGGAAAGAGCTCCATGGATTAGGCAGCCCATTCCCTGGCGCTCACCCTCCATGGGAAGATGGGAGGGCAAGATGGCAATTCCTTCTAGTTTCAAAGGAAATGGGGAGAGACACAGCATGAATAATGCTTATTTGGTCAAATGCTATGATCTTTTTTCACTATTTGCTTAATACATCAGCAATACAGTCCCTCTATTTTTCCCAGGCCAAGTCAAGCTCATGTAGTTGAGACCACTGTGTCTGACAAATGCTATTCTTTTTTTTTT